GTTTATCATTTTTCAGGGTATTTAATCACAAATATCTTTCAAAGCGTTTTTCGATTAAAACATTCTAGGTGTCTTTATGGTTTAAGTAAGTCTTAAGTTCGTTTACAAAGGACTATGTCGTTTATTTTGATTGTTAACAATAAAGTAAAAGATAGACTTCACAAGAGCATGTCAAGTAATTCTATCTTTTGAAAACCGGTTGTAAAAATTGATTAACCCGTTTAACGTTAAAACGACATTTATATAGCATGATGTTTAGCTCGTTCAGTGTAGCTTTAGTTTATGTCAATATATATAAGTCAATAACATATCACCTTAATGGAATCAATAGTTCTATACAGCTCCACTTAATTTTTCTTAAGGATATATTCCGTTTCGACCGTTTGTAATAGGGAACACACACGCGCGCACACACACACACACACGATATGATTTATTTGGAATTTGGTTAATAATGTGCTAACTTATCTATTTGGACAACGTTGTTTCTACAAATGAAGTCATTACTATAATTATGTTACTATATTTACACCCTTAATTTAGACATTTTAAACTGGATAACAACTAAATAATCTATAAGATATTTCATATAATGGGAAACTTTCGTCTCATTTCGATAGGTTAAAATTTGTAAAAAGGCTTATGTAAATACAAATAAAATCAGAAATATAGTTTGTGTTGACAAATTGTTCTAAATGAAATGTTCAAGCAACAAAAATGACCTTGGATGGAGGTGACGGATACGACCAACATAATATGAGAACGTCGGGTAATTCTACATGTAAATAATTTGATCATGTTTAAATTATTGATGCACTCGTTGTATTTATTAGCTTCCACAATCCGTTACATACATGCTTATAGTTTGCATACATATTTTATTTTAGTTTTGCATACGTATTCTTTTTTAGTTTGCATACATATTTTATTTTAGTTTTTTTTGTACATATTTTATTTTTGTTTTTTCGTACATATTTTAACATGACGCCATTTGCAAAGTAGAGGTTTGGATAATTACACCATTTGTAAAACACCATTTTCAAACACTTCGCCATCTGTAAATTACAGTACCCCATTTGCAAATGCCAAATGCAAACTGAAAAAAATATGTATGCAAAACTAAAATTAAAAAAAAATGCAAATGTCACTTTTATGCCACCGTAATTTTGTTATATGAAGATATTTCAAGTGGTAAAATTAATGAAACTTTTAATTTATCAAGTATTGACCGCCATCTTGAACTCCACCTCAAATATTCCAATGTCGCAGATAGAAAATAAGTCAGTACTCAGTATTAAAGCAGAACTCAGATGACAACTTTAGACCTCTTGAACCCAAAGTGCGTTGATATGTAGCATATTAACGCACTTTAGGGTCAATTTCCCGATTTTGAGCCCAAAGTGCGTTTGACCCCAAAGTGCGGTGTTACAGTGCACATCAACACAACACCTTTTTTCTGCATAATATATACACATTTGTAGGTAAGGTAGAGCTAGCTCTATTAAATATACAAGTTTGCTTTAAAAAGAAGCATGCGAGAGGAGGTCTTTTTGTAGCTGTGGAAGATTTGTTTAATTCGAAAATATTTGGAGATAATTTTGCATAAAAGGCACAATGAATGTTTATAAATTACAATTACTTAACAAATTAGAATTTATTATATATATTGAATATATTATCATAATGAAAGTTTGTTTTACACTTCATCTTTTAATGTTTTGAAAGATTATATGCCGGAGAAATGGAAATTTTCTTGGCACATCAGGGATAATTTTTCGACAAAGGGAACAATTGATGTTATGTTATCAAACTAAATTCAAAATAAACTAGAAGGGTTTTTGTCACAAAAACATATGTCTCCCAAAACTGTGTATGGTCACTCATGTGAAATTCATTGAAATCCCACCAGTAGCTTGACGACAAGATGTTTCTATTTATAGCGCTCTAGCGGCCATTTTGTGCAGTGAAGCGGAACATGGCGGTGATGTGCACAACTACGGATGGAACTGATCACTCCTATAAAGTTTGGTTGAAATCCCACCAGTAGTTTGACCTAGTAAGGCCGGACAAGATTTTTCTATTTTTAGCTCTGGCAGCCATTTTGTGCAGCGAAGCGGAACGTGCCGGTGATGTGCACAACTAGGGATGGTACTGATCACTCCTGTAAAGTTTGGTTGAAATCCCACCAGTAGTTTGACCTGTGAAGGCCGGACAAGATTTTTCTATTTTTAGCTCTGGTGGCCATTTTGTGCAGCGAAGCGGAACGTGCCGGTGATGTGCACAACTAGGGATGGTACTGATCACTCCTGTAAAGTTTGGTTGAAATCCCACCAGTAGTTTGACCTGTGAAGGCCGGACAAGATTTTTCTATTTTTAGCTCTGGCGGCCATTTTGTGCAGCGAAGCGGAACGTGCCGGTGATGTGCACAACTAGGGATGGTACTGATCACTCCTGTAAAGTTTGGTTGAAATCCCACCAGTAGTTTGACCTGTGAAGGCCGGACAAGCTTAATGCGGACGGACGGACAACGGACGGACAACCGGACGGACGGACGGACAGACGGCGAAGGCAAAAGCAATATGTCTCCCAAAATTTTGGGAGACATAATGATATATATTAAAAGTAGTGTCAAAATAAAAGTTTCTTGTAAAACTCAAGTTTCGGTTAATGTTTTGATAAGTATATGGAAAAATATCCTCTGCAACAGAGATTTTCCAAAACAGGCATAAAGTATGCTAATCAAACAATTATAAGTCCCAGATTTACATAAAAGTGTTTATATCATTAGATTGGAATAAACAGTATATAAAGCTGCACGCCTCCAACCACAATATTGGAAGAAAATCAAACTTGAGAAAAAATTGTGCGCTTTGTGCCAAAAAAAACCTCCGTTGCGTGATTTAGTCATACTGGTTAAAATGTTAAAGGAGCAGCTAAATTTCGGTACACGGTTCACTCGGTCATATACATGTAATAGTGCATGGTGATATTGTAGCGATGATATTCACTGTTACTATTTTCCGGAACATGAATTAGTAAAACAATAATCGATTTATACAGTTTAAAACGGAATGAACCATTCACGTAGTGTTAAGTTACGAAAATGATATTTTCCGATTTTTCTTTGTACCAATTAGTTCACTTCGGTGTTTATTTTTTAAGACATTCATCTTAAGAATGAAATTAATTTACCGATTTGCGCAAAAATCTACCGTTTCAGTATGTTGAGCAAAGAGGACAAGAAATACAAGAAACTTTTTTATACAACCCCAATAAAAACTGTTTTAACCCTTTCCTTCATGAGCATATTATGAATAATGGCCGTTTTCATTGAAAGCCTTCTGATACAAGCTCAAACTGCTATAAAACTAAGAAAAATGCTGCAATACTGATGAAACTTGGCATAAATTTTGACTGTACCATAGCCTCAGTAACAGCATGCTCAAACTTAAATTTCCTGTTACCATGGCAACGGGGGGACGTCTCAAATTGCAAAAATCACTATTTTGCATTGTTTTTTCCATCAAAACTAATTTCAAAGTGCTGCAACTTTTCAAGTAAAAGACTTTTCAGCGTTGGTAACACGTTACCTTACGATCGACCTGAGGCCATTTTTACGGAATGCCGTTAGGGCCATTGCCTATGAATGTGTTGATCTGAAACGCGATAGTCGATAGTACGATGGTGAAAACGCGAAATCACGAAACTACGATGGTGAAAATGCGAAAGCACGATGATGAAAACGCGAAAGTACGATGATGAAAACGCGATTGTACGATACTACGATGATGAAAGCGCGATAAACTATCGTGTTTTCACCATCGTACTGTCGCGTTTTCACCATCGTAGTTTCGTGATTTCGCGTTTTCATCATCGTACTGTCGTGTTTTCATCATCGTACTATCGCGTTTTCACCATCGTACTATCGCGTTTTCACCATCGTACTATCGCGTTTTCATCATCGTACTGTCGTGTTTTCATCATCGTACTATCGCGTTTTCACCATCGTACTGTCGTGATTTCATCATCGTACTTTCGCGTTTTCATCATCGTACTATCGCGTTTTCACCATCGTAGTTTCGTGATTTCGTGTTTTCACCATCGTACTATCGACTATCGCGTTTCAGATTAACACATTCATAGGCGATGGCCCTAACGGCATTCCGGAATGCCGTTAGGGCCATCGCCTATGAATGGTTTGATATGAAACGCGATACTCGACAGTACGATGATGAAAACACGAAATCACGAAACTACGATGGTGAAAACGCAACAGTACGATGGTGAAAACACGATAGTTTATCGCGTTTTCATCATCGTTGTATCGTACTGTCGCGATTTCATCATCGTACTATCGCGTTTTCATCATCGTGCTTTCGCGTTTTCACCATCGTAGTTTCGTGATTTCGCGTTTTCACCATCGTACTATCGACTATCGCGTTTCAGATCAACACATTCATAGGCGATGGCCCTAACGGCATTCCGTACATTTTAGCCTGTCACATGTCCAAAATGTTCTTGGCGATGAGGGGGGCTGCTGCCCCCTTCGAACCCCCGAAACAGAAGGGGGCACACACCCCTTCTGGCAACCCCTTGATGTACCTTTTTGATAAAAGTGATCACTTTTTTTATCAACATTTTCCAAACGAAAAACAGTGTTTGGGGCCTAAATAGGGCATTTTTAACTGTTTGAGTCCTCTAAAGGGGGGGGGGGGGCGAAAAGCCGTCAAAACACGTCTGTATGAGGTAAAGGGTTAAAATATGTATTAACATCTATTGACAGAAAAGTTAGTAAATTTGAATTCTAAGTCAATATGAAATTAAACTGAATTTAATTTCAATTGTCTCTTACATGTTTCTACATCATGTTTCTACAATCGACTTTTCGACCTAACATTATACACGAAAACTAAACATTAAGCATGTAATTTTCACTTTTCGTGGTGTAATTTTAAAATAAATAGTCGAGTCATAAAGTTAAAATTAAATAAAGTCTATACCTCTCTCCTTTGCCTAGCCAAATGAGACTTTGTTCTTGGTTTCCTACTTGTACAACTATTAGCTGTGGCGGGACGGTAATTGGCCACACACGATGTTGAATATTCCACCAGCAGCATATCTACAGATTGGTAAATTCCGTGCTAAATCAAAACGAAACCATGTATCTTTTGTTTTTCGAGCAAAATTATTTTAAATTGTTATATTCCATTCTCTTTGTTATATAAATAAAGGCCCGTCAATGAATACAATGGATTGAACACAAATATCTCCAGTGAGCAGCAAAGCGCTCAACAAATGTGAAATAGTTATACATGAGCCGTCCGTCATAGGTACTGTTATTTCAACGATTCCAAATGCGACGATTTCAATTCATATCCAAGTATTTCTCCAGTAAGAAATCCCGAATGAATGTTGGAAAATGTTTATGTAGTGGACTTACTGATCAACATGATAAACTTGTTTATACAAATATATCAGTCTTAGTTTATCTTGAATGCTCGTACAAAAAGCTACACACTCAGATCTATCGATAAAGTCATTGTATAAAATAAGAAGTCTTGAAATACCTGGTTTATATGTTTAATCCTTTGATATGTCCTTGTTTAAGTCAATCCCAAAATCATTTAGGATTAAATGATTATAAATTCCTAAAAGAAAGAAATCCAGATTACACAATTTATTTAAGTTTTTCTACATGTATACGTATAGAAAATAATTGAGTAATAATTTGAAGCAAACAGAAAACATCCATTATATTTTTGTTAGTTACGATTGTAAACATGTTACTCGTTTTAATGAACAAAAAAGCCTTGTAAATGTTCGGGTTTCTAGATATATGTATGTGTAGAAAGTTTATTGTTTATGTGTCATAGCGAAGATTGATTTTACTGAGATTCAAGGTTTAAAGGAAAATTATGTAAGATTACACCAAAAAGTTTATATATTTTTTCGGGGGGGGGGGGGGGGGGGGACGGAGTTATGGGGCTTGATTTCGTGACTGGGTTGTGAAAGTCTGCATCCGAATTACTTGCTCGTAATAGCTCGTTATATGCATATACCGTATAAGTACTTATTTCTGCGGGCTTAATATTCTGCTATTTTAGTTAAAATAAGGGGTTTTAAATTTCTGCGTATCATATTTCTGCGGTGCCACCCTTCTCGCATTGATGTTTTTTATTTCTGCGTTTTAATTTAGATATTTTTTACAAAATTAACCGATACAAAATTCAAGATTTGTTGTAACAAACAAAAATTAACCACTGCAATGACAACAACTATTAATTGTAATACTGCATGTGTATAAATATGAAGCGTGAAAAATAAACATTGGTAAACTCGCACGTAGACACAAGATATTGTACAAATACAAAAGGGTATGTTTATTGCACCCGCCAAACTATAATAGTTTTATTTTACAAAAAAACAAGCTTAGAGTGAGCGGAAATCATACCAATATGATATTCATTTAAACAAAAAGAACATTTTTTTTCGCGTGAGTAGGTACATATATATCATGTAGATAAGTAGGTTGTGCATGCATGGTTAGAAAAGACGCAAGATGGAAGGTCGCTTAAATTCATTTATTACAAGTTAGCGGAAAATAATCAAGGACGCTTAATCACTAAGTCATCATACTCATTTTCACTTATGCTAAATTTCTTAAAGCCACTGGCCTCCAGATGGTAAAATGAAAACAATGATATAAAATTTCAAGTAAACGGTAAATACTGATCTAGTTAGGGTTTAATGCGTTAATTCATTATTACTGACATCTTAATTCAAGAAAGATTGTTGACAAAAGTGTCATACTATCATGTTTTTTGTGTTGTCTACTACGTTACTAACGCAGTAGGTACGGAAGCTTGTATGTACCCCCGCTATGAAGACATGAAGTCGTCTCCCTCGACTTATAGAACACAACACGTTGTCAAAATTACGACGACAAGTTTATATATACCATGTCATTTTGACAACATATATGTCATCATATCGAGATACGGCATCCCGACTTTCATGCGTTAATATATTTGTTGACTAGAAATAACATGGATGTCGACATATATGTTACTTGTAGTCGACACATATATTTATGTAAGAAAGTCGGGATGCCGTATCTCGACATCATTACATATATATTGTCAAAATGACATGGTATATATAAACTTGTCGTCGTAATTTTGACGACTTGTTGTGTTCTACAAGTCGAGGGAGACGACTTCATGTCTTCATAGCGGGGGTACATACAAGCTTCCGTACAGTAGGCGATATACATAGGAGAAGATAATTCAGTTAACATGGTCACGAGTCACGACAGTTGTCCGGAATAAATCCGTTATCCTGTATCCCCGGCGTCGAATATCAATTTTCTCCATTGAGTATGCCCTATTATATTTCAATCTAAAGTTTAAATTATGGAACGCCGTGACTGTCTTATGTGATCAATGTTTTAGCTATCTTGTGAAACGATGATATTATTTTGTCATTTGAGCATGTTAACATGCATGTACGGAAGCTTGTATGTACCCCCGCTATGAAGACATGAAGTCGTCTCCCTCGACTTATAGAACACAACAAGTCGTCAAAATTACGACGACAAGTTTATATATACCATGTCATTTTGACAAAATATATGTCATCATGTCGAGATACGGTATCCCGACTTTCATACGTTAATATATTTGTCGACTAGAAATAACATGTAAGTCGACAAATATATTAACGTATGAAAGTCGGGATACCGTATCTCGACATGATGACATATATTTTGTCAAAATGACATGGTATATATAAACTTGTCGTCGTAATTTTGACGACTTGTTGTGTTCTATAAGTCGAGGGAGACGACTTCATGTCTTCATAGCGGGGGTACATACAAGCTTCCGTATGCATGTCTTGTCAAAGAATCATGCTGACTTGTGCAAATAACATATTAACTTGCCAAAATGTATAATGACTTATGCAAATGACATGTTAACTTCTCAAAATATAATGATGACTTGTGCAAACGACTTGTTGACTTGTCAAAGTATCATGATGACTTGTGCAAATAACATATTAACTTGTCAAAATATATAATGACTTGTGCAAATGACATGTTAACTTGTCATTATATAATGATGACTTGTGCAAACGACTAGTTGACTTGTCAAAGTATTGTGATGACATGTGCATAAGACATGTTAACTTGTCAAAATTTCATGATGACATGTGCAAACGGCATGTTAACTTGTCAAAATATCGTGATGACATGTGCACAAGCATGTTAACTTGTCAAAGTATCGTGATGACTTGTGCAAATAATATGTTAACTTGTCAAAGTATCATGATGACTTGTGCAAACACCATGTTTACTTGTCAAATTATCATGATGACTTGTGCAGACAACATGTGAACTTGTCAAAGAATCGTGATGACTTATGAAAAAGAAATTATATCTTGTATCATGCTGACATGTCAAAATGCACTATTAACTTGTCAAAGTATTATGACTAGTGCAAACACCATGCTAAAATGTCAAATTATCATGATGACATATGCAGACAGCATGTTAACTTGTCGAAGAATCGTGATGACTTGTGCAAATGACATGTTTACTTGTCAAAATATAATGAAGACTTGTGCAAACGACATGTTAACTTGTCAAAGTATCGTGATGACATGTGCAAATGACATGTTAACTTGTCAAAACTTCATGATTACATGTGCAAACAGCATGTTAACTTGTCGAATTATCGTGATGACATGTGCAAACAACATGTTAACTTGTCAAAGTATCGTGATGGTTGTGCAGACAAACCATGGTTTGTATAAGCTAGTATGGACATTGCTCCTGATCAGTAGATGAGACCTAATAATTTTGAGGTCATTGGGTCAAACATTAGTCCACAAAGACGCTAAATGTATAATCATTGTCTAATCAATAATTTGGATATATGGCACTGTGACAGTAGGGTAAGGTAGGGGCACCATTGCCTTACGGCACATTTCCAGCTCACTCAGAAAATTCATAAACATGTATACAGTGTTATCTGATTGGTTAATTATCTCCTGCTCACGCCTTAATTATCTCGTTCGCAGAACATTGTAACTTGTGTCCACGACATAGTATCTCGTGCGCACCACTTAATTATCTCGTGCGCACGACATAGTGACTTGTGGCCACGACATAGTATCTCGTGCGCACCAATTAATTATTTCGTGTTACCACTTAGTATCTCGTGCGCATAAGATAAATAAAACGCACAAATATCACCTCTGTACCAGCGTAGGTGACTTTAGTATACGACAGTGTTGTAGTCTATGTTTTATGAGGGTCCATCCGCCCCCTTTAAGGCACAAAAAGCATCTTTGTTGTCGTGTTCTAGTAGTTCTTTTAAATTTTGAAGTGACCCATTTCAAGTCATCCCTGGTAAGGCTGCTTATATTTTAACTATACTTGTTTGTTATTGTGTACATGAAGTGTGATTAAAGGTTGTTTTTGTTTATCTTTGAATGACTTTATTTTTGGGTGGAAGGTTTCAGGAAGTACTAAATCAAAAATAAAAGACCTAATGCATTTTTTGCGGTAAATTTACTTGGAAAGTATTGTTGTTTAAAGTTATAGCCATTAAATTCCTGTACCGGATATGCTGTGTTAGATGTGATAGATTTACTAAAAGATAAATCGTGTCCGTCTCCTCAAAGACTCAGCCTAGTCAAATTTCGTACTGTATGTTCTATAGTAAATCAGTCATATACATGTATAAGGTTAAATACATTTGTTATGGTTTGATTTAGTTATTTTTTTCGTAAACTTTCCCAATTCTGAATTTATTTTTTATTTCATTTTTTTATTTGTGAATAATTCTAAAGTGTATTGCTTTTTATCTATATAAATCACAAACGATAGAGCCTAGACAGACGATAGATGAATTATGTGATTACAGACGATAGATGGATTATATGATTACAGACGATAGATGGATTATGTGATTACAGACGATAGGTGGATTATGTGATTACAGACGATAGATGGATTATATGATTACAGACGATAGATGGATTATATGATTACAGACGATAGATGGATTATATGATTACAGACGATAGATGGATTATGTGATTACAGACGATAGATGGATTATGTGATTACAGACGATAGATGGCTTATGTGATTACAGACGATAGATGGATTATGTGATTACAGACGATAGATGGATTATGTGATTTCAGACGATAGATGGATTATGTGATTACAGACGATAGATGGATTATGTGATTACAGACGATAGATGAATTATGTGATTACAGACGATAGATGGATTATATGATTACAGACGATAGATGGATTATGTGATTACAGACGATAGATGGATTATGTGATTACAGACGATAGATGGATTATATGATTACAGACGATAGATGGATTATATGATTACAGACGATAGATGGATTATGTGATTACAGACGATAGATGGATTATGTGATTACAGACGATAGATGGATTATGTGATTACAGACGTGAATGGATTATGTGATTACAGACGTGAATGGATTATGTGATTACAGG